TAGTAGATTTGAAGAAGATTAAAAAAAATAATTTTGTTGTATTAAAAAAGAGAAAAAAATATTATATATAATATGACCTTAGCGGTTGAAGAAAATTTATGTCTATATAATTACATGGGTTAATGGAAAAGTTAGGGTAGGTTAGGATTGATTGGTTGACTTGGGCTACTATTGTTTTGATAATTAATTAATTTGTTAAAATAATAAAATAAATTGGGAGGGAAAATTTCACGTTGTTGAATATTATAAGAGATTCGCGACACACAAAAGATTACCATTCTTGAAAATCGATCATACTTTTTTCTCAATCATCCCAAAACTGATTTGGTCATGGAGGCTTTCAAAGTTGGGTACAGGTTGGCCTGCTAAGTTATATTCCTTTCACAATCCGTATTAGTCCCACCCATTACACTAGATGTAACCCGATGATAAATGCATGAGAAATGCAACCAAATTTTTTTTGACCTGCTTTCAAATTTGGGTAAATTTCACATTCACAGGTAAATATTTCATAATCTGACTTACTTCCAATCAAGTTGTGATTTATGTAACAAATGTCTCCTGTCATTAATGGAATCTGCTGATATTAAAATTTATCACTGATGGGGGAGTAAGTGAGATTATGTAATTAAGAGGAGGCTATATGAAATATTGACAAACCTTAAGTAAGGTAAGTGAAATTTATCTTCAAAAACTCTATCCCCAAAGAATTGTTTGCATCCAACGTAAGTCAAACTTTAAACCTGATGATGATTCATGAGGCACCAGGCCGGATCAAGTGACTTTTACCCAATTGAGCCAACCCCTTAAAATACCTTCAATTTTTTAACTAATAGACATAGCTAGGAGTCTATATGAATTGTGGTAGTAGTCCCTATTGTAGCTTGTTATAACGCTGTTAAAGCACAAATTTTTTTCCCTAAATTCTTAAAACACGATTTAAGTCCGTTAATACTAAAAAAGAGAATTCATCACATGTAAAACTTATTTCAACAAAATTTTTTAAAATTAAATGTGTTAAAACTAGATTAAATTATGTTGAAATTTTTTACAGCCCATGATAGTTGGGATTGGTTGGCACAAATCTTAAACAAATGTGTTGAAACTGAGTTTAAATGTATTGAAAATTTTTACAGCATGCTACATTGGAGATTGGTTACAACAAAGGATCCAAACTCTAAATATATATGAGTAGTAATATACTTGGGCCAAACTTTTAATGTAAATTGTCTCACCTATAAGTTTTGATTAGTCATTTTTATCAAATATAAGAAGGAAAATGATTTTTAAATCAAGTTGTTGCAGTGAATTGGCACATATATTGTTTTTAATTGGTCATAGCGGAGCCTGCTACTTACTTGTATTTTCCATAAATAAACAATAAAAAATATTTATTTAAACAATTCACTGCAACTCTGTAACGTGATTATCACCATTTATATAAGAAAGTGTGGAATTCCACTTCCTCATATTTTGCATACTAATCAAAACTCGTATATCAGGCAATTAATTTTAAGTAATTGGCCAAAAATATTTTCTAATATATATATATATATTTATATTACACACTTTCTGAGGTGAGGCAAACAAGTATTAATGGTGTTGGACCAGGAAATGGCTGGATTAACATTTGCCAGGTGTACGGTCATAAGAATTTGGTCTGTCTGTCTGTGCCAAGATTCATGTCAAAAAATAAAGACACAGAGGCCCCACAGGCACACAAGCTGTGTATGAATATGGAGAAATCTTGCTGTTACCAAAGTGGGATGAATGAAAGTGGACCCCCTCAATTTAAGAAAAGATGAAAGAGACTTTTGTGTGTGTGTGTGTATATATATATATGTATATATATGTGTGTGTGTGTATGGTGATCAAATTGCCAGTTCATTTTTTTGAGGTCCCTGTGACTCTGAATGATACAACTCCTAAATTCTGGAACACGACAAGAATGAATATATATACTACTACTATAAAAACTATACATTGCAGTATCACATCTAATAAATACAAAAATTAAATCCCTAAAGTAAAGTTTATGAACAGAGAAGAGACAGAGACAGTGATCAAACATTGCCATGACATTTGCTACTCAATATACCTAACGAACAAGACATTTTGTGATGTGTGTGTAATTTTCTGGATTCAAACCACTGGAAATTCACTTCTGACCATACCCTATGCCTATATGTGTGTGACTGTGTGTGATTTCAATTTCCAGAGTTTTTTTATTATTTAATTTTTGCCTATAGGGGAAATTTGTATGGAGGTATGGACATTTCCATTTTAGATCTGTCAATGGGGACTGCTAGGACCATGAGATTTCTGGTCACAGCTGTCCATTGCAAGGCCAATCATCTTTATGCGAAGGAGAAAGTTAAAAATAAATTAAATAATGGATGCATTATTTTGTATGTATATTTATTGGGGGAAAAAAAAAAAAAAAAAACAAGAAGAATGATTTACGGGCATAATTAAATCTCAATTTATATTAATTTTCTCTTAAAAATGTAAACAATCCTTCTATATGCAAAGATAAAACTACCCACATTTAACCCTTTTCAAATTTCATAATAACAAAAGTCTCCTCCATTAAATTAACCCTTTTCACTCAAAACCCCTGTTTAAACCCAACTTGAGCCCTATTTGATCCTAATTCCTAAATCTATTCACATTACTCACAAGTTGCACAAAATGACAATATGTTTTTGTTTTTAAAAAAAGAAAAAGAAAAAAAGAAAAGATATACCATTAGAATCTATATCTTTATTGAGACTTGAAGGGTTAGGAAAATCGGATGGTGACTCCACCATATTGGACAAAGGGTAACTGTAAACCGTATTGGATTCCCAGCCCACAAAGTAAGTGATTGGTGGGTCCCACAAAAGAGAGAAGGGCCCCACATGTCGATTGGCCACCCCGTTGGGTAACACCGACGTGGACCCGTACGGCGTGCGGATTGTGCCCTCTCACGCATGGTGGATAGCAACCCGAACCCACACCTGTTTACTTGGATCCAGTCTATGTGGTATTTGCCCTTGGTTTATAGTAAAAATTTCAAAAATACCAATTGGCTTGGTTTTTGGTGGACATTGATCGAACCAAGACAAGGCTAGGTCTTGGCCCATGTGGACACTGATCGAGCCAACACAATGCCATAATGCTTAAACTCTTAGACTCTTCTTGGCCTTTGGTGGACATTGATTGAGCCAACATACAGTTGGGTCACATTCCCTTTGTGGTCATGCCCAATTTGCTGAAACATTCAGGTCCCCAGACTTGGGCCATCACTATTTTTCAATACCCATTTTTCCTTTTTTATTTTTTACCTGAGAAATAAGTAAAAATGTCTATGTTATCCCTCTCTTAAAGCGTTTTGTCTCGCATCATATTCCAATGAAAGGAGTTGAGAACTTATGAAAACAAGTGTATATCACTATCTAATAGTTTAACCTTTTGGGATGTCATTGTTATATTTTAATGAGTAATGATAGGAAAACCGAAAAGGAATTCCTGAATTAACATTGAATTTGTTGTGTTTAACTATGTTTATTACGTGTTAAATAATTATTTTTTAGAAACTGTTTAAGTAGATGAGGTAGATAAAAACACATCAGATTTGGAATTTATTCGGAGAAATCATTGGATGACCCTATCATTTTTCTTTTTGAATACCCACTTTTCATTTTTTTATTTTTTACTTGAGAAATAAGTAAAAATGTCTATATTATCCCTCTTTTATAACCGCTTGTCTCACGTCAAATCCCGATAAAAAAAATTAAAAACTTACAAAAACAAATATACAGCACCACCTAATTATTTATCCTTTCAAAATCTAATAAAAAGCATCCCACCCATTACACCCTCAAAGGTCGTATTTCAAATAGATTTGACTCTATTTTACGAAAAATTATTGAATACCCTGGGACATATCAACCCTTGGATGTGGTGGTGGGCCCCACCACATCCATAATCCAATGGCCCTCACTACCCCGGTGTACCATACCCCGGGGGTATTCAATAGCTGCTCCTATTTTACATGATAGGATGCCTTGCACATGTCAATCATTTCACACAAGTAATTTATCAATAGAACTTTTTTTGTAGGACACTCCCTAGGGCAAAATTAAATAATGTTTTTGCTAAACCTACTATTCCCATGCGGAAAATGATCCTTTTCATTTATATCTCAATACATTAGTCTCTAAGCATCTAATAATGAAGTCCATATGTATATCATCAGAATTTTAATAAAAAAGTAAGAGGAATATCCTTTTATATTAAAGAAAGTTGTAGAGTTATAAAACTTTTTTTTTTAAAAAAAAAAAAAAAAAAAAAAACTCTTGACAAATATTCATACAAAAAACTCTGTATATATATATATATATATATATATATATATATATATATATATAATTTGATTATAGAAAAATAGCTTTCTTGGAAGTTATGTATAGTCAATTTAATACAAAAAACAAATAACTTACGTCATTTGTGAGTATAATTTAAATCAAACAGTAACAAAGAAAAGAATAATATCAATTGTACCTTCAAAAGAAAATGAAGACACTGGGTCGTAATTTTTTGAAAGAAAAAAAAAAGCAAATGGACAAGGACACCCAACTACCAAATTAATGCAATTTAGCATTATATTAGACAACCTTTCGACCAAAGCCCTTTAATTTCCTCATACTAAATATCAGTTTGTACCACCCATAATATATTTTCTTACCCTCATTAATACCCATGGGCCTCCTGCAATAATTGCACCCTAGGTCATTTCCGTAATTCCATCAAAACAGAAGGGCAATCTTGATAGACTCCATTTATATATCATCATCTAATTGAGTCCAAAGAGTTGAGAATAGTTAAAAGCCATATTTGATAGTGATACACACACATCCTATTCCTCTTTTAGCATCATATCTCTCTTTATCTCCAACTCCACACATTTTTTTTATATCCATAATTTATATAAACTATTATATTCTCAATTCCCTTTTCAATACATATAAATTATACATACATATATAATTATATAAATCATTGTGTGTGAAATTATGGGTTTGTGTATAATGGGAATAGAGCGGCGTACGATGTTGGGATAAATTAGTGTTTGACTAAAATAATCCGGGGGTGAAGAGAGAGAAAGAGAGAGGAAAATGGTGTGGCAATGATGAGAGAGAATGGCACTAGTGGGCGCAGGATAAGCACGTGGGCGTGGCCTTTCTGTGATTGCTCGCACGCTGTCATTAGTTCTTAAAAACAATTTCTCTTCTAAGTCACGAAAACAAAACGTCACAGTTTTCCATTTCATCTCTGATTTTCCTGCAAATGATTGGCAATTTTCCAGGGAACCAAACAAGCTTAAAAATTTCTCAGGTTGTATTATATTTTATTCCCTGTTTAATTTTAAACATACCCATTATAGTATTTTGTGTATATGTTTTAGAGTTTCTATTATTATTATTATTATTTTTTAGTTAGTGTGTTTTGTTTGTTTCATTGACTTGTGTTTATGAATATATTGATCTTGATGGGATTGGTGTGGCTTTGATTCTTTGTTTGCATGTCTAAATCAAAATGGGGTATAGAATTTGACTGAAATGACACAGACTTGGTGGGTTTTTGATATAAATTGCATACACAATATTCACATAGTGACCAACACACACAAAGCAAGCATTCTTTGTATTCCTTGGTTCTCGGAGTACTCTCCCTATCTCCTCCATGAAAATTTTTCCTTTCTGCGATTTTTTTCATTCTTCTTCTTTAATTTGAGGTCTGTTTGGTTGATTACTTTCCTATTGGGTCACTAACTATAGAAAATCAAATACAGGAAATGGGTGTTGTTGATTGTGATCTCTAGTTGGTTGGTGAATTTCCTTTGGCCTGTGGTTTGCTAAAAAGTGAAGTTTTTATCAGTTTGTGAGTTGCGTTTTGTTTGGTTGTGGCATGGTGAGGCTTATCTGAGACATAGATAACCTAAGTAGGAAGAAAAATTCAGAGATGAAGTTTATGAAACTCGGTTCTCGGCCAGATACTTTCTATACTACTGAGGCTGTTAGGTATCAAGTTTACTGAATAAAGATAGAATTTCTTTGAATTTGTATGCATAAACATATAGATACTGAGGTTTTCTAGTCTTAAATGCAGGTCAGTTTCCTCAGAGGTGTCTAGTGATCTCATAGTTCAAGTGAAAGGAAGTAGATATTTGCTTCACAAGGTAACAAATTAGTGTGTGTGTGTGTGTGTGTGTGTGTGTGTGTTTCCTTTTTTTTTTTAATGAAATTTCATGTTATGTTGTGTGAATTTTGATAATTGATGCAATTTAATTGAATGGTATTCTCGTGTTTTGTAATTTTTGTTTAAGTTGATTAGTTTTGAGTCTTTGGTGCACAGTTTCCTTTGCTCTCCAAGTGTTTGCGCCTCCAGAAGCTGTGTTCTGAGTCTCCCGACTCCTCAAACCACCAAATAGTCCAACTCCCCGACTTCCCCGGCGGGGTCGAGGCGTTTGAATTGTGTGCAAAGTTCTGCTATGGCATCACAATCACTCTCAGTGCCTACAACATTGTCACGGCTCGATGCGCAGCCGAGTACCTCCAGATGACTGAGGATGTTGAGAAGGGGAACCTGGTATACAAGATTGAAGTGTTCTTCAATTCTTGCATACTACATGGGTGGAAGGACACTATAGTGACCCTACAAAGCACCAAAGTGTTCCCTATGTGGGCAGAGGACCTTAGCATCGCAAGCAGATGCATAGAAGCAATTACCTCAAAAGTCCTAGCCCACCCCTCAAAAGTGAGCCTCTCACACAGTTATTCGCGGAGGGGTCGGGACGATGTATCGTGTAATGGAGGAGAGAGCCAGAGAATCAAACCTGTGACAAAAGGATGGTGGGCTGAAGAAATAGCAGAATTGGGCATAGACCTCTATTGGAGGGTTATGATAGCAATTAAGTCTGGTGGGAGGGTACCCTCAAATCTCATAGGCGATGCATTGAGGACTTATGCATCAAGATGGCTACCCAAAATATCAAGAGACAAAAATGTTAGTAAGCAAGTAGAATCAGACACAGAGTCGGATTCAATTGGGGAGTTCACTTCAAAGAAAACGGTGCTCTTGGAATCAATAGTGAGCTTATTACCGGCCGAGAAAGGTGCGGTGTCTTGTAGTTTCTTGCTTAAGCTCTTGAAGGCAGCCAATATACTTAATGCTTCTTCTTCTTCTAAGATGGAGTTGGCTAGAAAGGTTGGGATTCAGTTGGAGGAAGCAACAGTTAGTGATCTGCTAATACCCTCTTTATCTTACACAAATGACACACTCTATGACATAGACATAGTCATGACCATATTGGAGCAGTTCATGTTACAAGGGCAGAGTCCCCCTACTAGTCCTCCAAGAGCTAAGGGGAGTTTCGAAAGGAGAAGGTCTCGCTCCGCGGACAATGTTGATTTTGAGTTTCAGGAGAGCAGGAGGTCTTCCTCGGCGTCACATAGCTCAAAATTGAAGGTAGCAAAGCTTGTAGATGGGTATCTTCAAGAGATAGCCCGGGACATGAATCTGCCTCTGTCAAAGTTTATTGCTATAGCAGAGGTGGTTCCTGATTTTGCAAGGCTCGACCATGATGATCTATACCGCGCAATTGACATTTATCTCAAGGTAAATTAGGGATTATTCAGAAAATCTTTCCAAGTTCTTGTTTTTTGATTTCTTTATGAATGTCTTTCTCTTGAAATCACCATAACTCATACTGGTATTGAAACGCGAAAACTTTATCCTTGGACATATTTTCAGTGGTTAGAAGTTAGGGTGTGGGTCACCAACTCCCTTGACATTTGGTTACTGCCATGTTCAATGTTGGTTAGGAATTCGGATTAGGCTGACCTATGCAATTTGGTGTAATAGGTCTTATTTATCTAGATCCTAGTACCATAATGGCAACATCTTTCAACTAAATTGACTTAGTGAGATTGAATCGTGCATACTGAAATTTAGATGTATCATTTTTTTACCTTTACTAAGTTTTAACAAAATTTGGCATTATAAGTGTGTGTATCTAGCCTTATAATTCATGATTTGTATGTCGTTTGCTCTATTGTGATCTGGAGATCATGGGTTTGAAACCGGAAACAGCCTCTCCATGCGAAGGTAAAGCTACGTCCATCTGACCCTCCCAGACCCCACAATGGCAGGAACCGGCCAGCCCTCCCCCCCCCTTTTTTTTTTTTTTTTTTTTTTTTTTAACATAGAAGTAGTGACATATGGAATCACCAAATGGTATTATTCATGGAAGAACTGTATGTAATACTAAATTCTCTTGCTTCTGAGCTTCCAGGCACACCCGAGCCTGAATAAGAGTGAAAGAAAACATTTGTGCCGAACTCTAGACTGCAAAAAATTATCAATGGAAGCCTGCATGCACGCAGCACAAAACGAGCTACTCCCTCTAAGGGTAGTGGTGCAAGTCCTCTTCTTTGAGCAAGCTCGAGTTGCTATGTCCGGTGGCCAAGTCACGGAGCTGCCTAGCAACATCAAGGCACTTCTAGCCGCGCACAATGACCCATCAAGGATTCCAGCTTCGTTAAGCACAAACGCAACTACTCCAGCAGACGACCAGTGGAGCGTCTCGGGCCTCAAATCACCAAAGTCAAAGCTATCAACCTTAAGGATGAAATTGGCCGAAGATGATGACTTGGAGGAAAATTTCGCAGAAGGAATTGGGAAATCCTCAAAAATTAAGGCTCTTTGTTCGATTCCAACTCGACCCAAAAGGATGTTGAGCAAGTTGTGGTCCATCAATAGAAGTGCAAGCGAAAAGAACTGAGAGACTTGTGTTAATTTTCGGGTTGGGAATGGTATTTTTAATGGCAATTATACTCTACTTTTTTGTTCTGTTCTTGCAAAATGCCTTGTAATTTTTTGGGAAAAAGATCACTATGCATTGTTGGTGTAATCTATGTTAATAAGTAACAAGTTTTTGGAGACATGAGAGGAGGAGGGAAAAAAAAAAATCTCTCTGTGGTACCCTCATTTTGTGGAAATTGGAATAGGACCCTTAGTTGTAATTTGACTAAATGGGGGACCAAAATTGTTGTGTTTGTCTATAGATCTGTTAACAGTTAGTACCTGTCTTTATCTTTTGGTTGTGCTCATTGAATCCTCAACTGTAAATTCAAAGTCCTCCTCAACACACCCACACACACACACACACACACACACAACACATACTGAACCTGTGGTTATGCAATGCTGTTTACCTTTTTTGGCTTACTATAATACTGTAGCTATGAATCTAAGTATGCATTGGATTATACATATAATGTATATCAGCACATGGAATGTACAGGCATATGCTGGTCCCAATTTGTCATTGATTATAGATATAGATATTCTTTTTTGGGAGTAAATATACCATAAATGATTTGAGCTACTGGCACTGGACCAGAGATATATCCCATTTTTGAGGCAATGATTTTATTTTATTTGTGTAAGATACGGATATTTTTTTATGCAATGTATGTCGGTATCTTTCATATATCTTTCTGAGTATGGGAGAGGTCTAGATTGCCTAGTGCACAATCAACGGTAGTGATTGTCACCATCAATTGAGACCCAAATGGGACTCTCACGTGATTGTACCAATCACTACCAGTAGTTGCAACACTAGACCTCTAAAGTATTTTAGTATAGGAGAGGTCTAGACTCTCTGCGCACAATCAGCGGTAATAATTGTCACCATAAATTAAGACCTAAATGGGATTCAATACGTGATTGTACCAATCACTACCGATAGTCGCAACACTAGACCTCTAAAGGACGGAGGAGGATTTTAATTCACGTCGGTGCAAAGAAGGAAATGAAAATAAACACCAAAGCATTGAAACAATAGGAGAATTATTACCATTGATAACAAATTTTAATGAAGTTTAACTTAAACATGTTTACAAAAGGACTCTGAGGGATTTAGGTGCTTAATACACATTTAGCTTTTATCTCATTTACACAAATTTATCTTGACTCATGTACATATAGTTAAATCTCTTTCATTTTGGCACTTTAAAACTATTAAGGTGGTAATCTTAAAAATAAAAATAAAAAATAAAAAAATCAGGATCACCTCCTTTGTAGAGGGATTTTTTGCTGATCTTGTGCACCGAAATGTCGTTTCGATGCACAAGCACAGAGTCTCGTGTTGGAGGTCCGTCTAACATGTACTGGATTGTGTACTAGTACTATGTACCACTCTAAAATAGTTGGGATCCTCTCCGATACCGCACAAGTTATCGAATTTTCAACATTTACACGTATAAATTATTCTTTTTAAAAAAGTCTTAGGTACCAAGATTGAGATTCATTGGATGCAATACAACACTTGTGTTGTACTACATAAGATCCCAACTCCATCTAAAAATCCTATTGAGAAAGAAAAAAAAAAGACTCGTCATTTTTATAAATTTAAAAGCAACCACACAAATCTTCCTCAATAATACAGCTAGTACTTACATTGAAGATATATGATGAGTATTATTCTCATTACATCCAAGTATCTACAGTTGTTCTATTGTCCTATCAATTAAAGCCTTACAGTTATACAAAACATGCATGCTTCATAGTCATGCTTTCATAATATTGTCTAAGCACATGAACCATCGAATATAGTTTGTTTTCTGTTACTCAATTATTAATCAAACACTATGTATATGACTTTTTCTCATCACATCTTCAGTCGTTCTGATTCTATTCTAGTCTTCCATTATGGTATCCACTTAATAATAGTACTATTGAGTGAGTCAGTACGTTATCAACTGCCTGACCAAACACACACACACACACACACACACACACACACAAACATATATATATCGATCTCATTAAAAAGTTGAATAAAATAACTATATGGGAGCCAAGATCAAGCAATGATTCAACCTGTCTGATATATTTGGTGCAAGAAGATCAATGTACAGATCCCATGTTACATGTTACTAGTTTGTGATCATTTGTGTATTGAACATGTGGTGAATATAATTGACAGCTGCATGCATAAATTGGTCTCCTTGCCAAACATAACTTTAGATGATTGGATTCCCAAATGTCTCTCTCATTCATGTCGTATATCCACACACACACATATTTGGAGTGAGGCTAGTAGAAAATCTTTATGATCCATAACATTAAAGGTTTCACTTGATCTTATTTCTTCAGTATATCAAATGATTGACATAAGATCAATTTGATTAGGATCTCACCAAATTTATTATTTAATTTGTAAAGTAATAGTAAATTGAGGGTGTTGCTTTTAAATCAATGAAATAGTATTTATTATTGTTATTATTATTACTTAGATCTCAATGCAGGCACGTCTTGTGGCAGACGAAATGAATGAAGAAGTCAATATGACGATCGAGTCAAAAATGCAATTAGGAATCTCAAAGATGTTTTAGCTGCATGTAAAACCAAACAATTAACTTATAATATCACGCTCATAAAGTCGTAAAATCTTCAAGGATAAGAATAATTTGTATGGAAGGAAAATGATAACTAGTCCGACTCTCAGAATAATGGAAATATTTTATATTAATAGATTCATAAACGGTTAGTATCATAACTAAATTTATGTTACATGTGAGAAACAGGCCTAACAAATTTTATAAAGTCGATACTATTGTTAGAAATTTTGGTCAATTTCTTGTATCAATCTTCCTTGTATGTGCTTTATATAATTTATGAGTAATACTACCATGAGAACCCTCTCATAATGAGTTTTACTTATTGAATCAATAAATTAACTGACTCATTTGAAATCTCAATATATTATCTCAATTCAGTACTTAAATAAGAAAAACTCGTGTCAGGACTTTGTAGGGGATGTATCCCACGGATCCACATGGTACACCCCAGGGTACTCGTCAAGCTTGAGCTTGTCAGTGAGATTGCTCGCAGCCCATCTCGACCCAAAGGTCCACATGGTGTATCCCCACACAAGTCAAGCTCTAGTGTAATCGTATGTCTCAGCAGCAAGCACGACTGGATCTCATGCGTATCGTGGACCGGTCTCAGTGGCCCACGATCTACACTTGCCTAGCCTATAGGCCTAGTCGATCAACAAGATGACGAAACCACGTGTCTCGACTGTAACACTGATCTCAGTTACCGCCGCATGTGCATTTAATGCAATAACTCTCACCCTCAAGCTAAAGGACCGAAATGACTCTATTAAACATAATAGGGTCACAATGGTTACTCTAACAAGGTAGGCCCGAGCTTTGAGTCTGAGCCTCGAGACCCAAGCAAACTATAAATGAAGGCCTTCATACATACGTAAAAGATGATTCAGGAGAGACACATATAAGGAAAAGAGAACTCTTTGACTTCATCACAGATCTCTTCGAATAGTCTTCTTTTCCTCCCGATAAAGCTCTTATTCGTTTTCATCACATTTTGTATTTAGATATTACCCCCGGTGCGGTACTTGTAATAATTATTGTAATAAATAAAAAATTCACAAACTCTCCTAATAGCATTATTCACTGCATTTGATTTCCTCTTATTTTAATAAGATGTTATCAAGAGCCACATTAAATATTATTTTTATGTGCATCAATTTTTCTTTCCTATTTCTATTACTCAATTATTTGTTGTAAGATTTCTCAATGTGGGACAGTATTGTGCCACGTAAATTTGAATCAGCTTTTGATGGGACTTGCAAGCTGGAGCCTGGAAATCAACACAATCACGATAAAGCTAGTTTGGACAATGAAGCTAAAATTAAAGTAGGTATACCTGCCATTATTAGATGGTTCTCGATGACTAACGCTTAATAATTCGGTCCAATCTAAATTTTCAGATTGAAATTTATTTGGTGAACTTGAATCGGCATGATTGTCTTTCTCATAAAAATTATGTCTTGCTCAAAAAAATTTGTTCATAAGATCATTTCATTAAATAGACGAAGTTGAACAAAGAGAATCATTTAATTTAACAAATGAAGTTGAACAATAAAACTATAATATCTGATCTTTACCACTGAGATTTCCCAAGGCATAGCAATTGTGATGAACCCCAATGATTCGATCATGTCCATCAAACAAAACTTGCTTGTCTCCAATATTAATTTCCATATTCATTCACCAATATTGCACTCAGTCTTCTATCACACTCCAGGAAAAACCTCTAACATGTTTTCAAATTCCTCCTATACATATATAATTCACATTACAAGAGAGAAAAGTGCATGAAAAAAAATAAAAATAAAATTAAGAAAGCAATCGCAAACACACATACATATAATGATGGACACAAACAATATAGCACCAACAACAATTTATTAACACTTATCTATATATCATCAGAACATATGATTCACTGGGCTTCTACTGTGTTTCTTTTAATAGTAGTGTCACAACTTGTGTTAGCCTTGGACTGATCAGAGTCCTTGTGCCCTCCCGAGTCGATGCTCTTGGTCCGTTGGAGGGTCGGGGCACGGTGGAGCCTGCACCGGAATGAACCTGCATGGGTTGTCGGCGAGCAAAGGCAATTGCTCTTAGCAGCACTCCCTTGCCTAGCCAGCCCTCCTCCACCACCCGGCTGTCCCGATGTCGGCGAGGTCGTTTCGGACTCCGAGGATGGTATCTCCACCTTCATCATCATCTTGTTGGTTATCCTCTCTTCGCTATCCATTCTCTTTGTCCACCTTTTCTAGCTATATCCTGCAATTGTTTCTATATATATAGTTTTCAAAAAATTGGAAGAAAAAAAAAATTAAAATTAACACATGATCATGTATGTGTTGTTGTTACCTCTGAAAGCTGTGGAATGGGCTGCAAAGTCTAACATGACTTGTGCATAGAGTTCATGACTTGCTTTTAAATAAAAGATAAAGTAAGATCAGATATTGGAATTGGATAACTGTGGATAAAGATAAAGATAGGTGATGGCACTATACACTATGTTATTAAATCGAGAAGGCCATGCACAATCTCTCTCTCTCTCTCTCTCTCTCTCTCTACATATATATATATATATATATATCACGGGTGTTATAATTTAGTCCATGAATGTCACTTTTGGTAATGCTTGAACCACTACTAGCTACAAATTAAACCTAACTGCCCCGTGCCCCATGCAGGCCCACTAGGATTTATTTTTTTCATACATTAATTTAAAGAAATTGATAATATAGCCCTATGTCCATGAATTCACTAAATTTTATTTTATTTTATGTATATAATTTATAAATATTTATAAAATAACCCTATAAAATTTATAAATTATTTTCCATAAAATTATCTGTTTCTAAAAACGTTTTAATTCTTTATTCATTTTCCTTCTTTTTCTTCAAATTTCTTTTTAATATCTTCAAAAACTTTTGTATTATCTTTCTACAATTAAAACTTATTTTTTTCTTCAAAATTCACTCATATTTTTTTCTTTTTATTTCATTTTCTTCTTAAAAATTTCTTTTTTCTTGTACTCATACATAATTTATATACAATAACATTTTTTTTTTCGTCTTATTTATTTTTTATTCACTTATTCTAATGTACTGGTATTACGCTATTATATTTTGGGATGTTTGAAAAAAAAAAAATTATTTTATTAATGTTAACATACCTCTGAACTAAATTTTTGACTCCACCCCTAAACATAATCAATAGAAGAACAACCCTATTAGCTTTTTTTCTTTATTTGATATTTCTTTCTTTATGGGGTTGAATCATGAGAAAAGCAAGGCAATGAAAGAGCTAGCTAGGCACTTTTGATTTATGAGGTCCCACTTTTTTAAATTATGGCAGACATTCTCGTGGGTGTCACAATTAGCTTATCGTTTCCTCACCCACACTGCATTCATGTTTTACACCCACCAGTGGGTCACATATATCACCTATATTAAGGATGTGATACCATTTTAAATCACTTGCTTGCCACCATTTGGCATTCCATGATGACTTTTTAGTCCTTTCCATTTCTTCTTTTTCTCTTTCCCTTCAATTTGCCTTAATTTCCTTTGACCCCTACAATTCAACTATTGAAGCAAGTTGAGAGAGGAAGAGAGAGATTGAGAGAACATAAAAAGATGGTCACTTATCCAAACTGTATAATTTTTTTTTGGTTGTATGATTGATTCAAATTAAAGTTCTAATTATCCTCAAATCACTTTTAGTGCATTGTGGTTTGACCAGCAAGAATACTTGTTTGGCTCCAATTGTTCCTTTTAACGGTATGTTTGTAATTTTCTAGTGTCCAAATGAGAAGTCAACCAAATATTTCTGATTATTTTACAACTGTTATGATCGTAAGAGCGTGTGCATTCGTGCATAATGACGATTGAGGAGGGCAAAAATGACCAACTACTAAGTTTGTAACATTGTGGCCCTAATGAAAAGGCTTTGTTAGGCATGAAATGAGTTAGATGGGGGTTTACGGATGTGAACCACAAACAAACACAAAATACTTAAGAAAAATGTAACCTTCTCTTCATTAACTTTTAACAGTACAATGAGGATCAATTACAATTTCTTGGACGGTACAATGCACAAGGACCTAGTTATAGTTTTAAAGAGTTCACTAGTTAAACCACTGATCACGTGTTACAAGCTTGAAATGTAAATCTAAGTGAAGAAATTTAAGCTACACCACAAAAGGGTAAGCAATGTAAACCTAGGATTACAAGCTACATTACGGAAAGCATGTAAGATATATTAAGTGCAAAGGCAAGTACATAGGATGTAAAGTTAAAGTATAGATCGTGCAGGCCGGACCGGGCGGTTGTATAAACAGTAGTTGTGTTGGTGCAGGACCTTGATTTCTATGTAAATGAGTTCTATTTATAGTGTTTGGGATACTTAGCCTTGGAGCGTGCCATGGACAGATGAGATGGTCTCGTCCTAGGAAAAAAATCCTCTCAGTTACTCTCTTATTGGATTGGTTCAGTAAAAAGAGTTGACTTGGCAGTTGAGTCATATTTACCAAACTTCCAATTTATACATACAACTTTCGTATATAACATATATATATATATATATATATATATATATATATATATTGCATTATTTAATGAATTTAACTTTTTTCTCTATGAGTCCCAAAAAGAAAGAACAAAACCTTTTTCCCCAAAAAGTCAGTTTTCCATCAAAATGAAATAAAAACTTTCTCTCATCAAAATTAATTATGAAAGAAGCAAAACCAAACAAAACGTAAAGCAAATCTATAACACATTACATAAGTAATGTTTTGTGATTAACGAGCTCTCTCTTCAAAAAAACAAAATCAAACTTTTTCCGGAAGAAGAGCAGACGATTTACCAGATAGAGGGAAGAACAGAATAGAGAAGAAGAATTTTTTTTTTTTCACGAACCAGAGGTGGACGATTTCTTTACCGAAGAGAAGAAGTAAAAAATGTATTTTAATTTAAATTAAAAGGTAAAATTAAATTGTAAAATAATATATTATTATACGTATAAAGTACAACGTATAAAATGATATGGGTTTAATATATACTCTATATAATATATTTCTATAAAGTATAATGTATAAAGTGGTATTTGTATATATGGTAAAATAAAAATAAATTTTTTTCTTAACTTGTTGACTTGGTATGACAAAGCTATGTTGGGGAGGTAGCGTTAATCAACATTGTTAGATGTTCAGTGAGAGAATAACTGAAGATAATTTTTTCCCCTCGTCCCAAGGCCTAGCACCGCACGTAAGGCATCATTCTTTGACTGACACAGATATAACCTTCTAGGTTTAGTCTTCACATGTATAAATAATAGGAAATTAGATTTAACACTTCTCAAAATACTTCTATAATATTTGTTGTCAGGTATTGTTATTGGTGCAAAAATTTCCAATATGGTTGTTGTGGGATAATATTGTTGGTGTCGTGATTGGTGCTTTAATTGAAGCTATGGTAAGTGAAATCTTTATGTGTCGAGTACATATGGCGCCATAGATGAATATGTTAAATGGATTGCAATTAATAATGCATGCAATAAAAGGAATTAGTAAATTAAGATTGAAAAAATAGTGATTTTGCTATGATTTTTTTAATTTTTATTTTTTGCCTTTTGATGTGAAAATTTTATATTTGTCATGCTAGTTATTTTTTCTCATCACATATACTACGCCCCCCTAAAATGAAATTCTAGCTCCGCCCTGGATGTGATGGGTTGCTGGGAATGCTTATCCAGCTAAAGCACTTTAGTGTTGTTTCACTTTCGTTATTTTGCCCAGTAGAACTGTATGTTGATGGAACAGAAGTGGGTGACTCTGCCTGTTGCTGGTCATCCGCTACGTCTAGCTTTTACTTCTCGAATACACTTATGCCTAGCCGAGGAGCCAAAGGTGTAGTTGATTATTCGAAAAAATCTATTTTATTACCGCCGTGGGGTTGGACATGGCCGTAATGACTGCTAGCGTGGCTAGGAGTAGGACCAAAGGTGGATTTAGGGTGGGCTCTAGTGGGCTTAAGCCCACCCCAAAAAATATATGTATTTTTAACTATAGACAATTTTAGCCTAGTTCAAAAAAAAATAATAATAATAAAATAATAAATAAATAAATTATTAGTATTAGTCTACCCAAACAAATATTAGTCCACTCCATTGACAATTCCTAAATCTGCCCTTAGAGTGAGGCTCAATCATGCCTCTTCGATCTTTATGCTAACCTGGGTCCCTCTTTTCGTGATGTTGTGCCTAGGTGGATCAAATTTCTAATTGGATGCAAACAAATACTAGTATCTATGTGCAATAGCAATTATATACAAGCGGTGTAATGAACTTGGACAAAGTCAATGTAAACTGGCCGATACGGGTCACATATCGGACTTAAAAAATGGTTGCGTATCGACTAATATGTGATGTATCGGATAATATGATGAACCATGTATACAAAAAATACTAAATTATACAATACGTCAAATATTTTGGAATGTCATTAATAAAAAGAAGTTATGAAGATTTTGGAACTATATATAACTTACCCCTCGGAGGAAATGGAAAATTCTTATCAGCATGACATATTGTTTATGTCAAAAAAATTATTTTGAGAGAATTAATTATATATATATATATATATTAGAAGTGGCCAATATAGGAAAAGAACTTCACATCATAGTAACACCAAACGAGCACTAAATCACCTTACTTTCCATATGATATTTGTTTTTGGGTTCCTAAAAGAAATTTCTCTTTGATCATCTCGTCTCTCTTGTTGTGTCTCATCTTTGAATAAATCAAACTGTGTGAAAAAGAGAAATTTGGTAAAACAAAACCTTGTACTATTATTAAGTGGGCTTAAAGGTCCATTTAGTCTGATAAAATATGCCAATATGGGGTCCGGATTATGGCCCACTATTAATCGCCTTTGACATAATTTTTTTTGAAATCAATCAATATAGACAGCATGATTCATCATACCTAACTCATCCTTACTTGAAATCATTACACATGCTATTCCAATTTAACAAATAACCTATTTAACCTTTATTGAGGTCCACTTCATGAATGGATCATCCCAAGATATGATCAATATGAAGAATTTCTTTTTTATATATAGACTCAGACTCTCATATGTGTCCGTGTTTAATCAATTAGTGCGTGATTATCATGTTATCACTACTATATCAAGAGAATTTAAGTTTTTCTTCTCTGAAAGGCCGGTGCCATTGAGAATTTAAGTTTTTCTCCTTTAAAAGGTCTGACATTACCATCGTCGACCAAAATAATAATAATTATTATTATTATTATTATAAAAATAAAAGATTTAGTAAACTAATGCAAACACATTTGGGTCAGGAGTAGTTTGTGTATAGAGAAGGTCCACACCATCCTTTGTTCATTTCTGCTGGGCCGAACTAAGGTTTGGCCCGTAGAAGATGACTTGGGCCTTAAGCAGATCATCCGTTGATTCCAGTTCAAGACCTAAGCTGGTTACAAACATGTTTAGAGCAAATGTCAATAATCATTTACCATAAATTAAGGACTATTCTCTCAAAGCAGTGATTTAGGGATCGAATTCGGCAGTTACCGAATACATGTTCCCAAGTAAATGTTAACGACACAAGCAGTGATTTCGTTGATTCCAGTTCAGGACCTAAGATCGGGCTTGAACCCACTTTCATATATGCTAATGGGTTGGACTTTGAGCTTTGTGTGGCCCAAAGCATTATAGTAATCAACCCTAGTGGGCTAGTCCACTGTGTCGGGCAGATTCCATTTCACTTGGTTGAACAAATCTTAAGAGATTGCATCAAGATCAAAAAAGATCAGGAATGGAATACACTGCTATATGTGCATCTGTCAATTCGTAAGGGTTTTGATGACTTGACATCTTTTTCACCTTTCTCAAGCAAATAATTCACAATTGGATCAGGATTCTAAACTCCACGTTGGCAATTAAACACGAGCTAGGGTTCGCTTATAGCCGAACCTAACTCACACCTAATGGCACGAGAGCCATGCACCACTTATATTCGCGCTCCCCGAAGGCACCCCAGCCTCTTGATTCGCGGCATCTGAAACCCTAATAAGGTTCCCTTGCATGTCTTTTGAGATGATTCCATATGTAATAGAAAATGAAATACTATCAAGATGATGCTCTTTGATCGAGTTGTGATTTTTATTTTATTTTGAGTCTCAATGTCAGAAGCGGAACTATGTGTGCAATTATACTTCGATTTGATGAGAACATCACATAGAGAATGTATGTGCGTTGGACATAGTGCACATTTATATTTATGTTTCTTCCAGCAACCCTTTTACAAGGATTAAGGAATAAGCCTAAATGATGTAGCAAGGGGGGACGAGGAGTGTGAGGTGTTCAACAATCGATTCTTGGTTAAGCAGAGTGTGTGTGAGTTTGAGACAAAATCTATTATACTTTGCTTAATAGTAGATTGTTTGATTCAAAATATTAGAGTCTTACCTTCCCCAAAAAAAAAATTTAATAATAACGGAGTCTTCATGATTTTTTTTGCAAAAAGATTTCCACGCTAAAATCTCAGTATCACTCCCAAACATTAATTTTATTTACTGCTTTGTGTGATTGAGTTAATTTTAATTTTGACTAAAATTGAAATAATAATAAAAGAGTAAGTATTACCTATTCACCACCTCTAGATTTTCTCACTCTCAATCAAAGCACTGCAAGTAAGCGCTCGTCTTTGTGATGATTCCGTATCTAATTTAGAAGGAAATACTATGAAGATAACGCTCTCAATCCAATTATTGCAACTAAATGGTCATTATATATGAGATGACTTGTTGTGCCAAATGATGTTTGAAAACAAAGAAGAAAAGAGCTTGAAATACTTTTTTAGGTTAATGCGTGGCCAATATTTCAAACACACACACTTTCATCTCTTGAGCTCTCTAGTCAAGGCAATATTTATGGATATTTTTAACAATATTTCTAAAATAATAAATATTAATAACTTTGATTTGACTTATGCTATCAACACAACTGTTCAAATCTCCAACCCATAATTGAGATTGAATTGAAAATCTAACCCAATCCTAACTACAAAACTTTAAATTAAATTTTCTTCCAATCAAAAATTTTCAAATCAAAATTGCTAATTTTAATAATTTCACCTTCTTGAGAGTACTAAAAAGTTTAATTAGAAGTTTAGAACAACACCGGATCATCTAAAACCGCATTTGCATGGGCCATGTCTTATGACCCAACAAATATCACCAACTATTTTTTTTTAAGGGTCATTTCAGAATATACTTCCATTAATTTTGAAACCCATGACACAACTTAAATTAACCATCCATAACCACAACTTTTTTTCCCTAACACTACTCAAAATAAAAAGGACACTCTTTCCATAAAAAGGTATACAGTAGTAAGTCCAATATATATATATATATATATATATATATATATTAGAACAGCACAAAAGCTGGACCAACGTACACAGCTTTTTCGAATTCGAAGGTCAACTCAAAAAGCTACTACCAAAGCATGTTGTACTACTCCTACGGAGGATCTAATGAAAACTGAAATCACAAACCCCCTTCCAACAATATATACAAATCTGAAAAGACCAACTATATTAAAAATTTTTAGATAGCTCAGCATCACAAAAATAAAAAATTAATACAATTTTAATAGTTAGATCCCGAATTTGTAATAACTTCTCCTAAACATATATACCAACATTATTTACATAAGAAAAAAAAATTCAAATACCTTGATATTTATTTATTAAAAAAAAAAAAAAAAAAAATTAGTGAACAGGCAAAATATATTATAGCTTGCAACATAATGCAAATAAACTTTCATTTCAACATCTTAAATCAAACTAATCATAACCTTTTAACTAATAATCATAATCTTTTAAGTTTCAACACTTTAAAAAAAAAAAAAAAAAAAAAAAGAGGGAAATTTGTAACATTCCATTTTTTTTGAGAAATGTTAACATTCCATTCTAGGAAAAGATAGGACCCTGTTATAGCTTCACTGCACCAAAAGACTTGAACCCATTTCACTGCTTAGCTGCAAACACCCCAAGAAGATCCGGGTACTGAAAGTAATCCCCCAACATGTTCTCCGGCGACGCCTGGAGGTTCCCCGGAAGCTCACCACCATATAACGGCACACTCGGCGAGCCAAAACCACCATTGAACCCCCCAAACTGCTCTGGAACTCCTTGGTAATCAAAGTAGAGCCCAAAATGATCCTTCTCAATACCCTTCCTCATCTCATCATATGACTGTTGATTGTTGTTACAAGGATCAGACGACACAGGCTGAACATAAGTCCCACCAGTACTGCAATTCTGGGGTTTTGACGGTTCAGATTTGTTTGATGAGGGTTTCGGGAAAAACCCATGTAGGATTTCCTGCAACAAGCCCGAATCAGACGGCTCAGAATAAAAGAACTGCATACCATCTGTTTGATCATGATCATGATGGTCAGTTGATGATAAACAACTTTGACTTTGACTTTCTACTACTAACTTTGACATGTTTGTAGTAGTTGTGTTGTTAAAGTGATGATCATTCACTAGAGATGAACCAGAGCCGTTGATATATGGAAAATGATGATGATTATGATGATCATGTGGAGGAGGACGAAATGTAGAGTATGATGAAGTGTTGAGATTGTCACGAAAGAGAAGCATGTTCAGAGAAGAGCTTAGCTGTGGTTGTGACACGGAGGTGTTATGGTGATTAGGGTTTGGAAGAGAACTAGGGTTTGATGAAAAAGATGAGGAGCCAGTAGAGCTAGTACCACCACCATACATGAATTGATGATGACGAGTTGGGAAGTGTCCATCTCTGATGGACGGCTGTGATTGTTTTGGGAAGTTGAATGGAGAGATGAGATTGTCTTGATGATGAGGAGGTGAAGTAGGAGGGTAGACGAAGTTAGTGCGGGCCTTGGCACCGCGCATGGCACGGGCGGCGCAGTCGTAGGCGCACGCCGCCTCCTCGGCCGTGTCGAAGGTGCCGAGCCACCGCCGCTCCTTGGACGAGGGGTCACGTATCTCGGCGGCGTATCGGCCCCAGGGGCGGCGGCGGACACCGCGGTACCTCATGGAGCCCCCAGTTGTGGTGGTGGTGGTGGTGTCTTTGAGAGAGCGCTTGTTGGCGGCTGTGGTGGTGGAACGCCTGTTAAGGGTGGTGGTGGGTTGGGGTGGTGGGTCAGATTCCGGCAGGGTGAGGGTCTGACCTCCTAGCCTCCTCATAGCTTCTTCCATTTGATAGGGTACTAGAAAATGAGTGTGTGTGTGTGTGTGAGAGAGAGAGAGAGAGAGAGAAACACAGTGAAATTGCTAAAAGAAATGAAGTGTGAGAGAGTTCACTTAGCAGTTAGCACTCTTCGTGTGGCAGATTGCACCTGGGTTATGGTGGTGAGGTTCTATTTATAGTCAGAATTTGCACTCGTGTAGGTAGAGAGAGAGAGTAGAGATATATAGAGAGAGAGTATGCAAATATCGAAAAAGAAGTAATTTAGTACTCATATTTTAAATACTGGGACATTTTATATTTTAGTAAATTATTGTCAGACTCAATTAATTCACTTCAGTAATCTATCTTGAAATTTTTGGTAAATAAATAATTTACTTTTTATTATTATTACAATAAACTCATATATACACCTTTATATTGTTGAGTTGAATCCTCACCTCTCATTTATTTGGATAATTATATATGTATTACTTTTCAGTATTATATAGAATTTCCAAGCTTGATATGTATATATTTTATGAAAATTTTAAACCTCTTAGTATATATAGATAACGCATATATACACACACACAGTATAATTTATGTAAGAGATGATAAAGGCAGTCTCTTTATATACACACACAGTACTATTTTTTTATTTTTTTTTAACATAAATGAAAAAATGTTGTAATACTTGATTTTTTATTTAGTGTTATAAGTCAAGAACATCTGTGTGTCATTTCAGTTTAAGAGAGAGTAGTGGATTTGGTAACATGGGAATTCAAATATTGGTTCTTTGTGTAAATGTAGAATTGTTTTATAAATATGTATACTCTATATTTTTTGAAAAAACAGAAATTACGGATTTAAGAAATGTGTGGGAATACTAGAAATCTATTTGGGCATGATTGTTATGTACCTCAAGTTTTGAGGAATGGTTGGGGGGTGGACAGCTAAGCATATATATTGGATAGTAATTGCCTTCTGATATTTCCGAGAGAGTTTCGTAATGAAGCAGAAATCTGTGAGAGAGAGAGAGAGAGAGAGAGAGAGAGTGTGTGTGTAGTGTGTGTAGTTGTCGTTTATGGGCTGCAATTATTTGATTGATGTGTATTTTGAGATAAGAAAATTAATATAGTTGAAGTAGTTTACCTCTTAAATGAAAAAAAATTAAAACATATATATATATATATATTTACAAAAATCAATCCACTCATAAACTATATTGAAACTTTGAATGATTTGTAAATCCTAATATAAATCGATTGACCCATAAACTACATTGAAACTCCCAATGATTTGTAAATTCTGAATATAAATATATGTATATATATTTCTTTCTTAATCTAATTTACTTTTTATTTTATAGTAATTCCTCAATTATTTGAGAAATTCCTTATAATTAATGTACTTCAGTATATATCATAACATTCTGTACATGGGTTCGCATCCAAACGTCTCCATCCAACATGTAATTAAAGAGTGTGGATTTGCTGGCAGAGAGATGAGTAAAACCAACTGTTAATTTTCTGGGAAGTTGAAGTTCTCTCTCTCTATCTCTATCTCTATCTCTATCTCTATCTCTCTCCTCTCTCTCTTTCTCTCTGATGAGTATATATTTGTGTATATCTGTGCCGCAGCTGGGGTGCCTGTGATTATCATTCTGAATGATTACACTGGCGGCTCTCAGAATTTGTTCCTCCCACTTTGGTATATGCTAGTATTCTACTTGTCTATTATTGTATTTTATAATAAAAATGTACTGCTAATTAATACTCCACTACTGTATATATATACGTGGCCTTTTGGTTATTTTGTGTTAGTAACTTTTAGTAGTAGAGTAGTAAAAATTCATTTTTAGGGTTTGAAAACCAAGGGTTCTCGTGTTCACATGGTGTTGTCTGAAGTAGGGTTTTATAGGGTTTTTAAGAGATGATGTTTAGGTTCTGCTGGTAGATGGAGACTAAAGTTGTTGTGGATTGTACTCCAAGTCAGAAAAAGAAGGGAATTTGTCTACTAACCCTAATTTCTCTCTCTGCCCCCTCACTCACAACGTCCCTTCAATTCGTTCCTCTAACAGATCTTTCAATTACAACTAACTACTTCACCACTGTTCTTGTCACCAATCACCACTTCCTCAGCCCACCTACATTAACAGACAAAGATTTTATCCAGCGCGGGAGGGATTTTGTATCCTATTTAGTGATTGAGATTGTATGTCACTTGTAAGTCTCATTTATTAATTCAATCTTAATAACAAAATATAATACAAAACCCTCAAGCATTAAAGAGGATACTTGTACTTATATTAAAATGATATTTTCACATCCTTTCTGTATTGCTAATGCAACACATTATATCATAACGTAATTGTTGAAGTTGTGGAATGTGAATCACAAAGTCCATTTATATTGCCGCTTCACGGGCCTTTTAGTCTTTCGTGTTAGGGTTATTTGATATTTTGATAAGCAACTGAATTTATGATCTTTTTGTATTTCTAGTGTAACATACTATATGGTAACATAACAATTGTTGGGTGAAGACTTAATCACAAGACTCTTTATCCTTTTGTGTTAGGGGTAGTTGATACTTTGAGAAGCAGCCGAATTCGTGAGGCTTTTGTAGGTGCGAGCTTTCCGTTGTACTCCGTAAACTTTTATTCTTCGTAATAAAATTTGTGATGTGCTTCGTAGATATAGTAAGAACAACTTTGTTGACCCCCGTAAATAGTGTATTAAAACACTATGAAACAATGATGATGCAAGCGATTATTGCATGAGTTATGTCAAATTGTATAAGTGATCAATAAATTAATTATTACATAAGTTACGTAATGACACGGAACAGATATAAAATATTGAAAACAGCATAGTAGAAGATTTGGGTTCAAATTAAGGTATAACACACATATATATAATTTCACGTATATGTATCACGATTTACAGTATCAACCGAATTGGCATGTATATAAAAATATATTATATGCACACATTATCTATGGCTCAGCAACTTTGTATTGTAGATATATATATAGAGAGAGAGAGCTAGATATCAAGTTCATTATATTATTGTGTTAATGTTTAGGATTTCTTAAGAGGATTCAATTAAAACTTAAAAAAAGTACGATTTTATGAAATCTGATTTACAGAAGTGTACTTTTGTAACACTCTACAAATAGTGTGTGAAGCAATCGTGCCAATGCAATTCCATGAGACCTACCTTTCACTATAAAACATTTTTGTTGGTTATATATATATATAATTATTTATTTATTTATTTATGTTTTATACTTAAATCAGCCCTAGAGGGAAATTATTTTTCCTTTTTCTTTTTTTTTTTCTCTTTTTTTTTTTTACCTAAAACATTCTTACAATATTTTTGAAATATTTGAACTCTATTTCACTTTGAAAGAAAAAGAGAGATTTTAACAAGTTTAGGAGCAACAAATCATCAATTAAGTGCTGCTAATACAATTAAGTGTTGTCAAACGTAGCATAATGAACTTTTCATTTAGATTTGGAGAATCTATAATTTCATTCACGGTGAAAACCCCTTTCGCTCCCAAAAGTAGAAGTCAGCTTTTTACAAGATTTTTTGTCTTTTAAAGTTTGTACCCATGCATACTAAGGATTGTGTTGACAAGATCGAGCAAAAGTTACAATCAAACTTTTGTCAGTCCCATCTTAGATATTTAACATATAATTACAAAACGAAGTCTTTTTTGATAAATGGGTGATTTATAATCGCACCACGAAATACCCCCATACAAGAGAAAATATATATATATATTTATATGGGGATATTTAACATATTATTATTCTTTTTTAATGAAAAATTAAAACAAGCATATACATTTATTATTCATCACATGTCCATTATGAAAACTTAATATCTTATGCTTTGATCAGTTGGAAGAAAGAAAGAGTAGTGGAGAAAAAAATAGGTAAAAAGTAAATTATTTTGGTAAAGAGAGGATAATAAGAAAGATAAGACATCTTTTATCCTTTTTAAATTTTCATTTCTCTAAATATTAATAGAAAATAAGAGAAAAGACAAGTAATACTATTACGAAAGTTCTAAATTACTATAATCATAAAGTATGCAACTTTTGAATTACAAATTTACCCTCTATAAATTACTGGAATCTTATAAATAGTGATGGGTATAATGAAAAAAATAAAAAATAAAACTATCCTATTTTTCCTCTTAAAATGGGTGAGACGTATATTTTTTTTCTTTCTTTCATTTAAATTTTTTATTTCCTACCCAACAAAGCATCAATCTCGAGATTAGAGACATGGTAGATTGATTTTCGTTTATGCACTCGTATCATCATTTTAAACTCCTCATTGATTGGATTAATAGATCCCATTTTTTAATTACCACCGCTAAACTAATCATCTCTTGTGATCTCATGTTTCTTGTTCAAACTTGTGTAGCTCATGAACTTGTAGAAAAATGTCCCTTTGCAACGTATCAAACCATAATGATGTTAGAAGAATATCTCATGCCTTTCATGTCATGTTAGTTTGATGAAGTCATGATCAATATATATTTGATTGTTTATACTATATAGTTGTACTCATTTTCATTTTATTAATTGTTTAGTCTCAACAGCAAGTGATTAAACTAGTAGTTCTAGCTTGTCATCTGAAAGAAAAGTGACATAAAATATATAGTATATAATTTATATAGAGAGAGAAAGATCTAGAGAGAGAGAGAGAATAGTAAATGACGGTGGGAGAGGAATGTAAAGGCGGAGAGACCAAACCAGGGAGAAGAAATAAAAAGCAACTAGATTCTAACGACAAGAGAAGATCCTACAGGATATAGAAATCAATGAATGACCAGCTTTTTCCAGTACTGAAGATGTGAAAACCTCTGTGTACCTTGCCTACCAATTAAACAATTACAAAAACTCTATGCCTCTTGTACATTATATTTTCTACATGAGAAAGTAATGCTATATTATATTATAGTATTATATGTGTTACTTATTGAAATATTATTAATAAATTATATTTAAAAT